TGGGCCCGAATAATGACCCTGGATTATCCGGTTCCCGGGGTCTAAATGGGTAAGCGTGATGCTTGTGCTCACTTTGGCCCTTCAGAGGGAAGGCAAGGGGTTTTTCGTAAATTGGGACGGTAAAAAAAAGGTTAGGGAATGGAAGTGAAGATGCGATTCAAAGTGAGTGGCCTTAACCTTTTGGGTTTCAGGTCTGACTTGGCTTCCTCGCCAGGATGGTTGATAGGCAGGTTTTTCGAAACCGGGGGGCATTTGTTCAAGAAGGCCTGGGCAGGCATGATGGGTTCGGCTGTCGTCTACCTTCATGCATAGCGTAACAGTCGTCTCCGCCCTATTGCGCGGTTTCTCCACTGCAAGTCCGCAACCTCGACCCTAACCCACCCCAACGACCCCTCCCTAGCCGATGACTTTGCCCACGCCCAATCCGCCCCCGCTCCCCCCACCACCACCACCAGTCAGAAAAAGAACGTCCGTTTCACAGACGACAACAACGACACTGACCTCGAAGCGCAACGCTCCTCCCTTTTTTCTTCTCAACAGCCATATCGCGACGAGATAGACGACGACTCGGCGGGGTACCGCAACGAAGCCGAGGGGCTGTCAAACACCCAAATCCACGCCTACCACCGACAGATTCTGGAAGAGCAAGATGCGCAGCTGGACGCGCTGGGGCTGAGCATCAGCCGGCAGAGGGAGCTGTCGATGCAGATTGGGGATGAGCTGGACTCGCAGGTCTTGATGCTGGATGAGAGCGAGAGGGTGGCGGATAGGCATGCGAGCACGCTCAACAGGGCGAGGAGGCAGTTGGGGCGGGTGGCGAGGGGGGCGGCGGAGAGTGGGGAGGGGAGGCAGATGACTGCTATTGTGGTGTTGATTATTGTTTTGGTGTTGTTGATTGTTATTTTGAAGTGATGGGACAGGGCTCATCGTTTTGAAGGCGTTTAACATGGAGTTTGGAGTTATGGAAGTCACGCACTGCAGCAGCTGGGGTTGTGTGGGAGGAATACATCCTTTTTTTTCTTCTTTTTTTTTTTTTTTACAGCTGCAAGCCGGTACTATACAAAGTTTCTTGTTTTGCTCTTTTTCGTCATTTTGTTTTTTGCAATATATCCATCTTGCTATACACTCTCTTATCAGACTTGAAGCTTCTCATATGCTCGTCCACCATCTCCACCCTCTGGGCATCCACATCAGCCCCATCACCTCCTCCACACACACAAAACTGACTCGTGATGATACATAAACCCTCCTTCCCACCACCAACTTCAACAACGAAAAGCCCGATTAGCTCAGCTGGTTAGAGCGTCGTACTAATACTGGAAACAGTACATGGTAATGCGAAGGTCAACAGTTCAATCCTGTTATTGGGCAGTGCATATCTTTTAGCCTTCTCATATTATAACTTTTTGATGTTTTGCTATTATCTCTCTCTTCATCACAAGTTCGACTCCATCTTTAATTTTGACGCTACCAATTTCTTGTTTCTGCTCGCTATCAACAAACAAAATTATCTACACGGCTGATCCTCCTCACCTCATCAACATCAACATGGGCCAAAAAAAAACCCCAAAGGAGAGAGGGGGAGAGAACAAAAGAATGTTGCAAAGTCAAAAGCTTGTTTATGTGCATTCTTTATCGGGACTGACTATCTGCATCCATCCTCATCTCTTCAATTTCTCGTCCATCTTGTGTGTTTTGTTCCTTCTTCTCCTTGTGGTTGTGTGGCAATGTGGATTTTCGTCCACAGCTAAAGTCACCCCCTTGTACAGCAGGGTCTTGTGTGTTTGGTGTCCAAATACTCTCCTGAGCAATGACATTCAACCCCGAGCAATCAACGAATAACATCCCCCTCCTTGTCAATCCCCTCGAGACCCTCCAAGATGTCGCTACCCCCCAGCATGCCGACGCCGCCCATAGTGGCCACTTTGTCGTCTCGCCCCCACACTTCGTGAAACCGGACGCTATTATCGCTTGCCGCGACCATAATGCAGCCTTCCATCTTGTAGCGCCTCTTGGGGTTCAGCTCATCCAAGTAGCCCTTCTCAGTCCGCTTCTCCTCCTCGGGACCACTAGGATAGGGAATAGCATACAGCGCACGATGCTCACTGGGCCATGGCACGGCCGCGACCTGGCGACAGTCCGGCCACGAAAAGACGGCGATGCGGACCGGGTGCTCGGGCGACGCGTAGCCAAACGTGGCTGCGATTTCCCTTCGAGTGGTGGACCAGATCAAGCTGGTGACCTGAGCCGATACAGAGATGGTTGCCAGTGCTGAGCCTGATTTGGTGTGAAAAAAGTGTATACACTTGTCGTTGGATCCTCCGCCTGTTGCAACAAGTCCGTCCTGCCAGGGGCAAAAGGCAATGGCTTTGACCGCAGCCCCATGCCTCCACTTGTGCTTCACTCCGTCCGACTTGATGTATCGGATTTGGCTTTCAGGCATCTGTCTTGACCCTGTAGTGTCGTCACTCAGAGGCTCCTGTTGAGGAATGTCGGTCTCGACAGTCTCGACTGTAGACTCACTGTGCAAGCCAGACTCATCAGCAGCGTTATTCATATTGTCGCATAGTTCCTTGTAGTCAAAAAGACAGCACAGGTTGTCGTTGGCCCCTGTAGCAAAGTAATTCCCTTTGGGGCACCAAGCCAATCCGCAGATCTGTTGGGAATGGACCTGGATGTTCAGCAAGAGAGTTACTCTGCCATCCAAGCCCCACAACTCCTTCTCCTCCGGACTTGGCCAATCGACCGCATACAGGAGCACGCGACCTTCGTCAGTCCCGACAAGCAAGTCCTCATGGGCCCAAGAAGCCCGGTACGCGAAGGATTCCCGGTCCTCGGGAGGCATACACTTGTCGGCCCTTTCTTTGTTGAGGCAAGGCCTCCAGCTGAGACAAGAGACGGGCGACTCCATCGACAGTTCGAATCGAGGTCTTCGGCCTGCCCCTTGTCTTTCGCCGCGGTCCGGCTTATCTTTCAAAGACATAAGTGACAACATGCCACTCGACCTTCCAACAGCCAAGATAGCTGCTTCCCCTTCGGTGCTCGAAAAGGCGACACTCGTGATATGACTGGGTCCGTCAAGGTATTCGTACTGCGAGGGTCGCGCACTGCCGTTCAACAGCTGTACACCACCGTGCTCAGACCAGCCGTACACCATGTCACCCAGCCCCATAGCAAGGGTGCTGTTGATGTATGAAAAAGCCAGGACAGAGCAATAAAAGTCGTCTCGTAGGCTGGGAGCATCGAGGACTCTGTTTGCAGTCAGCTAGCTGTCTTTCAACCACTGGCCACAGGCATCAACTGACTTGAACGGTGCAAATGGTAGCTTGCGCTTCTTAGATGGCTTGCCAGATGCCGTGGCTGTTGTTGGGTGATCCTTGACCCATTGAACGCCGTTCCATTTGGTGAGGCCGTGGGAGCTGAGGTTGTTGGCATCGACCTGTCGAGGGAGACTGACCCTAAGTACCTTCTCGGCTCTATCCAGGCCGAGAGCCACCGCAAGGCGCGCACCGTATTTCTCCCGTTGCTCGTCGGGTCTTGGTTGCAGTGTGGGAAAGTTGGACTGAAAATGCCTGGCGTTTGTACTACTCGTGACCAGCTGACCTCGACCATTGTCAACAGCGGTGTTTCCAGGACCAAGACCCCCAACACCCCATACTGCGCCGTAGCTGATCTGTCTGTCGCCGTTGTGGGTGCCATTCAGATCCCTAGGTCCGAGAGCAGTGGGAGCTAGGATGTTGTGTCAGTCTCTGTATTTGTTGCCTTGATGGGGCTAGAGGCTTACTTGGGACATATCTAATGCCATCATGATGAACAGGCTCTCCCCGGTCCCGAAGGTCGCCAAATATGGGAGCACTAGGAACGCGACTAGGGGAGCAGAAGGCGTCTTCGGCGGCTCCCTTGTGCCGCAGAAGCTTCTCGGCTCGGGTCAGTTGGTTCGCTGGCTTCCTAGTCCTGTACCTCTCCGTCTGAGTTTCTCTCTCTCTGGGTCTTGCAGGAATGAAACGGTCTGGTAATCGGGACCAGGAAAAGCTGGCCCCAGGAGAGCCGTTGGTAGTTCTTCGCGGAAGGGCCGGGCTGGCGTCAAACGAAAGCGATGTAGAAAGTGCAGGTCGTGGGCGAGGGTAGTTGACGGTCAGAGCGACTGTGTTTCTGTGTAGTCTTGTGGGTGGACGTGTGATAGTCTCCGGCGAGCTTCCGGTTATTGGAGTTTGTTCACCGTCGTCCTTGGGTTGATCATCGTCTTCGGAAGAATTTCCATCATAGTTCATGCACAGGTTGGCAAAGGGACGCCCTGTTTTCTTGATGTTGGAGGGCAGCTCGCGAAGCTCAATGGGACTTGCAGGCTCATCAGATTCTTCTGGGGATTCGTGACTCTCCCGGCATGATTCCAACGAACCGTATCCCGAGTCTCGCGTGTTGGAAGGAGAGCTGGCGGACCGTTTACGACGTGACCCTTGGTTGTATGGAACCACGTGGTTCATGGTTTTGCTTTGCCTTGTAGCGTAGCCACGGTTGGTGTTGCGTATGGCGCCCATAGCGAAGCTGCGGCACCACCAAGACTGAAAGATGAGAAGAGTATGGAAGAGAGAAGCGATGGGAGAAGATGCGGATGCTAATGAGATTCACAAAATGATATTTTTCAAAGACCTAGCGAGTGTAAGGGCCAGCAAGAATTGGTGTAGTTGAAGCCGTCGATGGATCGAGACGGCGGTGTTTGATGCGGGCCCGGATGATCAGAAACCTGTTCGGCCGGTGATGGGTGACAAGTCCATACGTGAAACGCCCGACGGGATAATAGTACCCTGATGCCGATGCTGTAGTCGCGTAGCAATATTCGGGAATGATGGTCTTAGGAATCAAGAGAGAAGATGCAGAGGCCGAGCAGACGAAAGTCATCCAGACGATCGGAGTCCTGTTGCCCGTGTGGGACTGGGAGGATAGCACCTGCCCATCTCTTTTCGGTCCTGACCCTCATGACGACACATTATGGTTACTGAGGGAAAGTGCTCGACGCATTTGAGCACTTTCCCCGCCATATCCTCTCTATCATGGAAGGTGTTGAATGGAAGGCAGGAGCTATTCAGGGGCTTCAGGGGGCTGCCCCGATTCGCTAAGCCCCCTATCTCTTATCGATAAAGCCCCGCAACAGCTGACGAATGCACACACTGTGCTGCTGTAGCCTTCCTGGCCTCACACCCGACGTCATTTCGATCCCGCACCCGAATCCTCCACGCGACACATCATCGCAACAACTACACATACCATGGCCGATGTAAGTTCTTTCACCAAACCCCTCATCTTTCCCAGCAGCAGACAAATTAACTAAACAAGCCCTAAACAAAAAGCAAGGCGGCTCCCAGCACGGCATAGCCCGCACCACCCGCACCCGCACCCCCGCCCAAAAGCAGCAGGACCTCGAGCGCATCCAAAAGTACCGCGACCTCGAATCCCACCTCCGCCAGCTCGTCTCCTCCTCTGATTACTCCCGCCGCAAAACCTTTGACCTCACCACCACCCTCCTCAAGCTCAACCCGGAATACTACACAGTATGGAACGTCCGCAGGCGTACGCTAACTTCTGGCTTATTCTCAAGACGGTCGGATGGGTGCTCATGCTCGAGGGCGTGCTCGAGTTCTTCTCGGTCAGACACTACAACAACGTGTTCCGACGAGTCATCGTGCTCTTATTCGACAAGGACCCCGCACAGCCAAGCTTGCCGGAGGATTGGGAGGAGTGGTATAATAGCTGACCAGGGGTCTGATGATACCGCTGTCGCGCAAGAACCAACGGAGCGAGAAGATGGGGAGGCCCAGAAGAAGGATCTTGATATTATAACCTCGGAGCTGTCTTTTACTTTTGGGCTTTTGCTCAAGAGCCCGAAATGCTACTGGATTTGGTCGTATCGGCTTTGGACATTGGATCAGTCTATCCTGCTTCTGCCGGTGGAGAAGGCGAAGAAGATTTGGCAGGACGAGTTGGGACTCGCGAGCAAGATGCTGTCGATGGACCGCAGGAATTTCCATGCGTGGGGGTACAGGCGGCATGTTGTCAGCCAGCTGGAGAGCAGGGAGCTGGGCGGGGATTCGTTGGTGGAGAGCGAGTTTGCGTATACGGACCGGATGATCCGGGCTGATTTGAGTAATTTCTCGGCTTGGCATAGCAGGAGCACGCTGATTCCGAGGTTGTTGGATGAGAGGGGGGCGGGGGAGGATGAGAGGAGGGCTTTTTTAGATGCCGGTATGCTATTTGTTGTCTGAAACTGATGGATAGTTGCTGACATGAGCAGAATTGACCCAAATCCGAGAAGCGCTCAATGTCGGCCCCGACGATCAGTCACTGTGGTATTATCACCAGTTCCTTGTCGACAACCTCGTCAATCCAGTTAGGCGTCCCACCATTGTCCCGACCTTGACGGTAGATCAGAGAGTGGACTACCTCTTGAAAGAAATCACGGAAATCAAGGATCTGCTAGAGGATTATGAGGATGTGAAGCTGATCCATGAGGCGTTGTTGGAATACACGCTTGGGTTGTGTCAGCTGGAGAAGAGGAAACCTCTTGAGCATGAGAGGCAGGATCTGATATCTTGGGTGAAGAAGTTGAAGGAGTTGGATCCGATGAGGATGGGGAGGTGGGTCGATTTGGAGAGGGATTATGGGTTGACTGAGTTGCTTCCTGGCGGGGGGGGTGGGTTGTTATGAGTATATAATAATTCTAATGTCACTTATTGTAGGTAATAGGGGTGTTGCACATCTCCTTGATATCGTGCATCATTTTCCCGTCTTTTTCTCGTAATCCGATGAGGCCACCTAGATACCCCATGATTTGTTGGAGTGGTATCATCCCTTTGGTGTTTCCCTTTAGCATGGGTGAACTGGACTTTAGCACCTGCCCACCGTACAACACCCTGACAAAATGTTTTGGCTGCTGCTTGTAAACCTCAAAGACGATCTCGGAGCCCATCCCGGGCCAGTGCATATCGTCTACTTGCAGCACGCCCAACAGTCGGGAAATTGACCCGTCGTGGGCAATGTTGTGTCGATATCTCACTTTTGTCTCTTCTTTTGTCATGGATGAGATATGTGACAATAGTTCGGCGATCCACACCCCGTAGCTTGCGACTGAGGCTTGGAGGGATTGTTTGGAGGAGCGGTAGGTGTGGTGGTACTCCCACTGGCCTAGACGGTAGACGGTGTCGGCTAGGTGTTGGGGGATGCATTTGTTGTTGTGGGGGGAGTGGACTGAGCAAGGGAGGGGACGGGAGTGGCATTGTTTGGAGGAGAGGTTGTCGAAGTAGTGGTCGAAACTGATGTGGAAACTGGTATCGGAGGGGGGGACGCCGCTTATGATGTCTAGTTGGGTGAGGATCTCACTTGATAGCTGCAGGTGGGATTTCCATTGGGGAGTGGATTGGATTTGGGAAAAGAGGTGGTGGGAGAGGGGGCAGGGGTATTTGGGCTCGAGGGAGTCGATTTCTGTGTTTTGGATGAGGAGGGGGGTGGTGGTGGTGGTTTTGGGTGGTAGGAGGGCGGATATCAGTGCGCCGGCGACTTGGGAGGTGATGGGGTTGTTGGTTATGCGGAACTCGGCTGAGGTTGGTGAGATGAGGGGGGAGTAGACTGATAGCAGGTCGAGGCCGTGCTGGTAAGAGTCGGAGAGGCCTTGGGTTGTGATTTGGGGAAAGTTGCAGGTGCCTTGGAGACCGAGGGGAGATGGGGGGAAGGGGTTGAGGGGGGAGGTGAAAGGGGAGTGGTATCCTGGGATGGAGGGGGGTGATCCA